AATCATCTGTCTCTCGTCCCCAGTGCTCGTACTATAAGTATGTGCCTCCATGCCTGGCTGTATACACGTATGTGCTGGGAATCAAACTCAGGTCCTTATACTTGTGTGGTGACCATTAGCAACTGAGATATCTCATCAGTCCCCAAGATTAAAAGCTCATAGGTGGAGAAAAGGGATCTTGCCCTGGGACATACTTGGGGTACCTAGACGCTGCCTATCCTATCTTCAGGCAGCCCCTTCCTCTGGGAGGATCTCTGACCAGCTGTCACAGGAATAGAAGTGAGAACAGCAGATCACCATTGTCCTTTGACTGTTCTGAGCACAGGGGTGAGTGAAAGCAGAAATAGTCCATGTGAGGAGGAAAAGTCGGACTGGGGAATTAGAAGGAGGCCAGGACCTTGGGAGGAAGAGCTGTGAGTCATGAGATGGGTGAGTTCAGTTATTGGTTTCTGTGCACCTCAGTCTCGTTACCTGGAAAATGGACTCTCAGGACTGTGCTGTAGGTCGAAGAAGGTCCTACAAATGGGTCATGTACTTCAAACAAGGAAATTTCCACTTCCCCTCCCTCTTTTCTCCTTTCTCCCTCTTCTAAAAAGCTATATGACTAGCTGTCTGGATGGGGGAGGGTTCCACTTTGAAGTCAGTGAAAACCAACCCAGCTCCTTTTCCCTTTGTCTTATTCCACTTTGCAAACACTCACGACAAAGGAGCCAAGTCTGAGGCCCGGCCACTGCCACGGATGGCAGGGCAGGACTGCTGGGTTCTGCTGACTTCCTGTGCCAGGAAGGCCTCCCCTCCCTGCAGTTTGCAGACACCTGGCTGCACCTGTTTGCTTTGCCCTGGTATCCTGGGTCTCACCGAGGGTGGACAGCTGGCTCTTCTTCCTGGTAAGATTTGGTGGTGATAAAGCAGCCATCTGTTCAGGGCTGTTGTTCATGAGGATTTTCGGTTTAGGGACAGGAACCAAACTCAAATGAGCTTATGTAAAAAGGGAGTACATCAGAAGGCTCCAGGGGAGGCTCAGAGTCAAGGGAGGCTCTGAAGAATCAAGGCCCAGAAAAGGAACCGCTGACTGCCTGTCAGCCTCCCTGGCCCAGCCTCCCTGGCCCAGCATCCCTTGCCCAGTGGTCCACCAGTGTAGGCAGCTTTCAGCTCACCCCACCTAGCCCTCCGTGTCATCCATGTGGATCAGATACTCCTGGAACTTTTCAGAATGCAGCACATACATACCTTCTGTGACGGTGAATGTGACCAAGGATGAAACTCTTAGCAGCTGAACTTGAGTCCTCTGGGCACTATTGGAATCTGTTGCCAGGAGATGGGGAGAATTCTAGTCCATCTTACCCGGTGGCGCTTGTTTTGTGATGGCTGTTCTTCTAGGTTTTTGCCTGCATAATTCATTTAATCTATATAATAGATCCCATTTTATGTGCCAAGAAACAGAGGCCCAAAGATCAAACAGTGTGCCCGAGGTATCTGGCTAGTTAGGAGGAGCCTAGGCAGAGGGCTCCGGATATGCTCTCTGCCAAAGACTAATGCAGACAGTAACAGCTATGTTATCTCTACACACATGCTGTGAACTCATGATGGGTTAAGTCTTTACCATATTATCTCATTTAACCTTCAAACCATCCTTCAAAATGATAGGTATCGACAGTGACTCCATTAAAAATATTTTTTTTTGAGACAGGATCTCATGTATACCAAACTGGCCCCAAACTTACTATGTAGCCAAGGATGACTTTGAACTTCTGATCCTCCTGCCTCCACTTCCCAAGTGCTGAGATTATAGGCCTGCACCACCACGCCTGGTTTTATGTGGCGTTGGGGATGGAATCTGGAATTTTGGGCATGCTAGGCAAGCATTATACACCTGAGACACATCCTCAGCCTCTAGCTGCATTTTTTAGATAAACTGAAGCTCGGAAGTTACAATTTTTTTCAGAGCCGTCTAACAATGCACAAGTGACAGATCTGGGGTAGGAATCTGTTTACTCGACTGTAAGGCCTGAGATGTTGACCATCCTACAGGAAAACCTTTAACAGACGTTTCTTTTGTTCTGTTAGAAGCTTTTGAGTGCCTGGAGTAGATCCCAGACCTGGCTCAGCACCTGAGATTCTGTCCTTTGTCCTGGGGGCTGGAGCATGGAGATCTCACTCACTGTGTGCTGCGTTGAGGGTTGAACCTGACTTGATGTGTCTCTACTAACTCATACCAAGTCGTTCCCGAACCACCCCAGGTTCTGGATTCATTGATTTCCCCTCTTCACCCACTTAAAAAGTGGTACTGGGGATTGAACCCAGTGCCTTGCGCAAGCCAGATATTCTGGCCTTCTTTCTATTGCTGTGATAAAAGCCATGACCCAAAGCAATTTAGGAGAGGAAAAGGTTTATTTCAACATGTACTTCCAGGTGACAGTTCACCCCTGAGGGAAGTTGGCAGGAACTAGAGGCAGCAACTGAAGCAGAGGCCACAGGAAATGCTGCTTCCTGGCTTGCTTCTTCTACTCAGCTGGATTTTTCCACAGCCCAGATCCCCTGCTGGAGCTATAACTGCCCACAGTGGACTGGGCCCTCTTACGTCAATCGGTAATCAAGAAAATGCCCCACAGGCCAATCCGATTGAGGTAATCCCCCAATTGAGAATCCCTCAGATCACTCTGGGCTGTGTCAAGTTGACAGCTCTATCTAACCAGGACATGAGCAAAGTGCTCTTCCACTGAGTCACATCCCTGGACTTGAATCATTCCTTTTTTCAACAAATATTTCCTTAGTGCCTGGTCAGTTCCAGGCTCTGTCTAGGTGTGTAGAATCCTCAGGGGAGATCCTGCTTCTGTGCAGGAAGGCATGGAGATGTCAGAGAGGAAGACCTCTAAGTTCCTCGCTCTTGGGCTTCTTACACTCTTGGGATCTGTGAGGTCACCAAATCGGGTCCACAGGGGACCAGAGAGACCTCTGCTTCTTGGCTTGGGACTGGCATGATGGCAAGTCCTTGGGAGGCAGGTTTCTTCATTCTGACTGATCTCAAAGGGAGGCTTTGTTTCAGGAAACAAGTGTGGGCCTGAACTTAGGCTGTTCCTCCATGAGTTCAGGGATTGCTGTGGTTACTGCTAACTGGGACTTTGGTTCAGGCGCATGATACACTACTACCTTCTTCCAGAGAAGCTGAGAGAGTTCATTGAGGCAGAACATACTAACCATCCTGTTCCATAGGTAATTCCCTGCCTGACCTCTTACCCAACCATTTCTGTCTCTAACATCAGGGTCTGTGAGCAGCTGAAAGGGGACATTGGTGAGGAAATCACCAATTATGTCAAGCTCCTCATTTTATAGATGAAAACACGGAGGCTCCTGGTGGCACTGGGCTCTGGGACCTTCTATCATGTGTGGTGCAGGGAGTGCAGAGCAGGTTTGGCTGTTGCTGAGACAGGAGGTGTAGGTTGGTCATTTGAGTGGCTGGATCGCAGTGTGCCCAGGGCTCTGTGGGAATCTGAACAATGGTGGCCTGGCCCAAATATACTCACCTCCATGCCACTGTGAAGACAACCCAAGCAGAACCTCAGAGAGCCCCTTACCTTTGTGCTGTTTACAGGGTATATATGGGCTGGTTTCTGAGATCTAGAGAGGAGGAGATGATGCCTAATTTTTCAAACTCTGGTTATAGACAGTAGACTTCAGCTTTAGGACATCCAGCTCTCCTACCCATGCTTCTGGAAGCTTCCCTTGAGAAGCAAGGCAGATGTGTGGAAGCTCTGGCTGTTCTGACTTTTGGCATGAGGTAGCAGCACAGACCCTACAGCTCAGGTTGATAGAATGTAGCCAAGGCAGGCCAGCCTGTTCCTCAGCTGGCACAGGCCCTGAGGGCTGCAAGCGTGGTAATGGGGATAAGGATGAACAGGGTGGTGACTCCTGAAAAGGTAGGTGATTGCTTCAACCTCACGGGGTATGTGGACCACCACAGCTGCAAGCAGGTGTTCACATCTAGGGCACCTCAGATTGGTTGGAAGGGCCCTGGGTGCTGGGTCACCCCAGCTTGGGCTTGAGTCCTGCTGTGTTGTAGAGCTGGGGCAAGTAGCATCCAAGCCTCTGAGCTAGTCTATGGAGCAGCCGAGATAAAACATGTCTGGTCCTGGTGGTGCTGACTTCATATGTGACCAGCACTCAGTAATGAGTTCTCTCTCGTTAATGGGGTGAGCATCTGGTAGGGAATCCTTCCTCCCAGCATGCCTCTTTGTGTGCTAGAGAAAACACCTGTGAATGTTTGTGTGAAAAAGCAGGTCCTTTGCTTTGTTGAGCAGTACACACTCTCCCCCAAAGTACAGATACCTCTTCTTAAAGATTGAGATTTCATATCTGCGCTGCTTCTTTTCCTCTTGAAGCTGTCTCTTAGATATTTGAATTTTCTCTGATTATAAAAGTGAGTCACTGGAAACATTTTGTAACCCTGTCTTCCAAGCAGGTGTAGAGGCATTTTCTACAATAGCAATTAGGATATAACCAAATCATGTGGGTGGTCACCAGAAGCCAATAGAATAATTTGTTTAGGAAACAGCCATGCTCAGCTGGTCAACTTCTAGTTGGTTGAGCATTTGGGGGACCTTTCCTTCCTAGGCAATGGGACAGATCACCCTTGGGTGACTTGTTACAAGTTTTACACCAGTTGAATTTCATTTCATTCTGTCTCAGGAATTCTGGCACTTTCTCTTTACACTAAAGCAAACTCTTAGTGTAAAGATAGTGTGAGGCTCAAGGGTGCCCAGAGGCATACAATAGACTTTATTCAATTCTCTTTCTTCATGTGCTAAATTTGAAGCACAGAGGGAAACTGTGCATTTCCTCCTGCTGGGGAAACTGTGCTTGTCAGACAGAGGGCACAAAATCATAAATCACTGAGGAAAGTCAGCCATGATTAGAGTCATGTGTGACCTTTGGCAGAAGAGAGGAGGCTTTGATGGAAGATGGTGAAACTGACATTAATTGTTGGATTTCTGTCTTTACAGGAACATGGCCACGAGCATGGGGCTCATCATGGAAGACTTTAGCCCATGTGATGCCTGAGAATCAAGTGAGTGAGTTACAGTGGAGGGGCCCTTTTACGGTGATGAGTGGCTTCTGGAAGGCTGGGTCTGGGCTGAGAAAGATGTGGGAGCCTTTGGTTTTTGACCTCAAACCTAAGTGTGTGAGACTCCATTGGAGAAAGTGCCGGTGAGGCCTCCCTTTCCCTCCTTAGCCTTCTATCTTTGCTCTGGATTCCAAGGTTACCCAGCAGGCTCAGGCTGTTGATAGAGGCAGGGAGATTCATTTAGGGATGTGAGAGCTCTAGCTGGTGATATGTGACTGAACAAACCAGCTCTTCTGACCTCCCCATCCTGCTCTGAGGGTGTTCCAGCTTCTTGACTCGGGGGGGGGGGTCTACACTGGGCCAGGCAGCCTCTATAGAGAGTAGCTTCAGAGTGCATCTTGGACCACTGGATTGAGATGTGAGAATGTAATTGTGCTATCTTCATGTCTGCAGGCTCCACTGTGAGATTGGACCTGTTTATAGCTTTCTGTGTCTTTGGGGCTCACGGACGCTTAGAGTCTGGAAGACTGGTATAGGCAGAATAGATGGTGGCTTACTTGTCCGTGGTCCTGGTGCAGTGTCATAAGAGCCAGGCAGTGCTGGCTGAGACTCTCCTTACAGAAACATCCGACTGTCTTCTTGGCCTTTAAGCCCCTCCATTCCCACCATCTTGCCTTGTTTACCAACTCCCTCTGTCCTGGCTCCATCTCTACCATCTTGAAGCAGCTTATGGTGTCTAGGACATAGTGTTTTCTGAGAAGCTTCCTGTGCCTCCCAAGCAAGGCTGGTGCTTTGTGGGTACCTCAGGTCCACCACCAGCTGAGGTATGGTGTCTTCACAGGCCTTTCACCTGAGAGCCTTCAGGTCAAGGAGCTGCCCTCCAACTTCCCAGTCTGAACTGGACCCAATTCCAGCATAGTAAAGGTGGCTAATAGATATTTGTTGGCTCAAGGATGTTAACTCCAAGTTTAGTGAGGGATTTCTGGTCCCTGAAGTTCTGTCACATAGTCCCCCATGGGACAGGTAGTTGTATTATACCCCTTGTTTTATGTTTTTATTATTTATTTATTTATTTATTTATTTATTTTTGTTTTTTTGAGACAGGGTCTCCTTGTAGCCCCCAGCTGGCCTGGAACTCACTATGTAGACCAGGCTAGGCTGGCCTTAACTCACAGAGATCCACCTGCCTCTGCCTCCTGAGTGCTGGGATTAAAGGTATGTACCACCATGCCCGGCTTATACCCCCTATTTTATAAACATGGCTCAGGCTTGGAGCAGTCAGGGAGCTTGCCCTAGGTTGACACATGTACGGACCAGGCCTCCTACCCTCTGTGTCCCAGGCTCATCTGGTTTCTGTAATGTCAGACTTCATCATGAGAGTGATTATTTAGAGTAAACCCCCCATGACCAAACAGGGAAACTGAGGCCCAGTCTGGAAAGACTTTCTCCAGGTTGTGCAGAACCAACTGGTATTAAATGGAAAATCAGGCCATAGGTTGTGGGCACGCTCTCTGGCCTTCTTTCTCCTCCTCTTTGGCCTCCCATCTATGGACTTCAATCTGAGAACACTTTGAGACCTTGTGTCTGCCTTTGCTGGAAGGTGAGGAACTTGCAGAGTGCCCTGAGCTAGAAGGATACAAGGGAACAGACCCAGCCTCTCCCTGCAGGAGCACCTAGGACTATGAGCTAAGAAGGCAGGCTTTGCAGGATCTCAATTTGATTGCAAGGAAGGGGGAGGGTGAGAGTCAGGGGGACACCAGAGTCCAAGGCTAGGGTGACAGCTGGTGTCATGTTGAAGCCTTCAGAGTTTGGCTTGGTGGGTACTGAGGACCCATGGCAGGTGGAGGGTAGGTTGATTAGACACAGGGGAGAACCACTGTGGAGTTCTGATTCCTAGTGTTGGGCAAAGGCCCAGGCAGAGAGGTCCAGATTGGCCAGTGTGCCCTAGCCTGAGAAACCCTGCCTCCCTTCCTGCAGACACAGAGCAACCTAAGTGTGTCGCTGGAGGAGGGTCAGCAGCCAGCAGTGAATTCCACCATTGTCTGAAGTCTGAGTGGGAGAGGCGTGTGTGCCCTTCTGGCCAGCTCACTCCTATTGTGAGAGGATGAACTGTCTTGTTTTGTTTCTGAGTGACACGTGTTTTCTTCCCCTGTTGCATTGTGGGTCTCTCCTGGCTCACTCATTCAGTCTAAGCTTGACACAGGTCCAGGCAAGCTTCACCCTTAGACAGGGACTGACCGCCAGCTCCATCTTCATTGCCAGTAGAAACATGCAATTTGCCCAAATTACAGAGAATGTGATGTTTGCCAAATAGGTACCTTGGATCGTCTTCCAAAACATTTCCAGATTACACATCCAGGGCAGGGAAAGTGTTGTGTTATGTGATTACGGTTTAAATGCTGCATTCACATCATGCTCCACTGCACTTTGCCATTCACGAAGACCATTTCGTCTTCACCATTAGGCAGGATTCACCCCCATCTTCCAGATGAGAAACTTGCTCCCGGCAGTCTGCAACCTGCCCGGATAACACAGCCCACTGACTACGGGCTGAGTTGGGGCACTGCTTGGGCTTCTGGTCTGTACAGACTCCTCATCATCTCCCTCGCCTGTTGAACTCCAGCCATATCTAAATCCTAGAGGGCCTAGGACATAAGGAGAGCTCTAAAAATATTTGTTGGATGAGCGAACTTCAGCTTTTTTTTTCTTGGCCATGTAGCCATAAATGGATCCACTTGGGTAGCCAAGAGGTCATCTCCCCAAGAAGTGTTTTGAGTTTCTTGCTGCAAGTGGGATGGGGTGAACTCTCCTCTCACCCAGCCTCACCCCCAGAATCTGGGTCATGCTTCTGAATAATTAATTCATTGACTGACTCCTTTCCTAAAGCTTCCTTCTTGTGATACTGAATCTCTCAGACCCGGATCTTTCAAGGTCCCTAGCCCAGGAAGACCCTATTGTTCGTTGTCATAAACCTTGAGAAGATCTTCAAACTGCCCACCTGTGACACTCTTCCTCTAAACAGGTCAGCCTTCCAGTGAGGTAATTTGATCTCATGCCACCCTTCCCCCACTAACCATCTCTATATGGGGGAAGAGGGACAGTGTGGTTATCTATTTAGAATTCTGGAAGGACAGGGAGGCCCACTTCTCCCTTCTCACTGATCTCAGAACTTCCTACAATTTTGTGGCAAGTTCTGGAGAAGGAGCAAAGAACACTATGTCCAGGGTCCAGTGAGATGGCTCAGCAGATAAAGGTGATTGCCACCAAGCCTGACCTGAGTTTAACCTTCAGGACCCACATGGTAGAAGGAGAAAACCATCACAGGTTGTCTTCTACACATACACACACACACACACACAATGTAATTTGTTCATTCTTTCTTTTTTTAATTTTAAAAATCTTATTTCTATTTTATATGTATGAATGTTTTGCCTGCAGGTATGTATGTGTACACCTGTGTGCAGTGCCCTCAGAGGCCAGAAGAAAGCGTTGGATTCCTGGGAACTGTAGTTACAAAATGGTTGTGAGCCACCATGTGGGTGCTGGGAACTGAACCTGGGTCCTCTACAAGAGCAGTCAATGCTCTTAATTGCTGAGCCATCTCTCTAGCCCCTTTTAAAAAAATAATTTTGTAAAAAGCCGGGCGCGGTGGCGCACGCCTGTAGTCCCAGCACTTGGGAGGCAGAGGCAGGCGGATCTCTGTGAGTTCAAGGCCAGCCTGGTCTACATAGTGAGTTCCAGGACAGCTGGGGCTACAGGGAGACCCTGCTTCAAAAAGACAAAAAAATAATAATAATAATAATTTTGTTATTTTAATTTTTTATGTGCATGAGTGTATTGCTTGTATGTGTGTAAGTGCACCTATGTCACGCAATGCCTGTGGTGTCAGATCCTCTGGAACTGGAATTATGGACAGTTGTTAACCACCATGTGGGTGCTAGAATTAAACCTGAGTCTTCTATAAGAGCATTCAGTGCTCTTAACTTCTGTGCCATCTCTCCAGCCCCTGGAATTCTTTTTTAAAAGAAAAGAAAACCAGCTGGGCATGGTGGCACATGCCTTTAATCCTAGCACTTGGAAGGCAGAGGCAGGCAAATCTCTGAGATCAAGGCCAGCCTGGTGTACAAGGTGAGTTCCATGCCTCCTGGAGCTATAGGGAGACCCTGTCTCAGAAAGACCAAAAACAAAAAGAAAAAAAAAAAAGAAGAAGAAAAGAAAAGGAAACTGTGTCAAGTTGGGAAGAAATCCATGAGACAGGGAGGCAGGTACCATAACATCTACTGGGCCAGTGATTCCCTAAGTGACAGTAAAATTGTGTTTCTGGGAGTCTACAGTGGATCTTCTGGCCTCATTAGATTCTTGAGGTCAACAGAGCTGAGTGGAAAGAAGTGGACTGAAACCCACAGACCCATGTGTGAGTGTTGACTAGTCCTAGCTTAGCTGGCTGACCTTGGGGAAATTACAGAGCTTGTTTTTGCCTTGGGAGATGTGACTCCTGGACTTCAGTGGTCCTCAGAGCCCACTCGCTGTCCTTGTGCTTGACACTGCCTTCTCCCCGTGTCACCTCCTCCTCCTGTGGGGAGAGCTTGCTTCTAAAAGGACTTCTCTCCTGGCCTGTGTAGCTCTGCTACCTCTCCCCACCCCATCCTGGGGTATATCTGAACTCAGATAAGAGCAACCTGTTACTGCCCTGATCTCCTGCCAAGATTCACGGGGGATATCTAACTTTAAAGGGGTACTAGAACTAAGAAGAGGAGGAGAGATTGGTTGGTATGAGATTGGAGTGGCACTTGGAGGAAGTCTTGAGATAGCCAGGTTCTCTCGAGGTGCCCCAGGTCCCTGGATTGTGCTGTTATTGACCAGAGGGTAGTAAATATGTTCTTAAGAATATGGCACCACTAGACCTGGTGGTTTGGGCCCTGTAACCCAGCTACTCGGGAGCCTCAGGTGCAAGGACAGAAAATTCAAGGCCTGATTAGCCTAGAGTGAATTCAAGGATACTC